TGTCACTGTGGTATGAAATACCAAAATGCAAATTGACTGTTTGCTTTTAGTAAATGAATTATTTCTTGGGAATATATGCACCTGGGGGTGCATCAATGCTCTCTATACAGTGCATGCCAGATTGCTCGTGCATTTGAGGTTCCATAATCGTTGATGGATCTAATAAAAGTTACAACATTCCATTTGACATCTTGCGCAGATCATAAATGGCAGTATATTTTTGGTTATCCAGATAGATAGAAAACAAATGGATTTGTAGTCTGTCAATGCTTTGCCTGTTTGATTAACAGATTTTCGTGGCCAGATAGTGCGTCTCTGGATGAAAAGCACGTTAATATTACGGAATACACCATATTAGTTTTGCGTGTTGTGGTAATTTTTGATTATGGTCTGTGATGCAATAATTTAGATATAAGAATGGAATTCCCCTTTCCAGCTACTGTTACTGAGCATTAGACCTGTCTGCAGTCCTTAGTCGCAGAACACTGGGAGATATGGTGGTGGGAGGTCATTCATTTCTCATGGGTTGCCACAAGTGTACATTTGGGCCATATTCTGAACGTGTGCCTGCTATTGGCATAATAATGTTTCGTATTTGTGATGCACACAGTTTTAGTTCTCTCTCAGAGAACCGCATCTCCACTCCGTAAACAATAGCTTAACAACAAATACATTTGGAAGTAATTTTTCACGGTGAGAATTATTTAATTAGTTTAAAGCAAATTCAAGAGGCTATGCATTTCCTGTGTTCGAATATGTCCGTAAACTGAAACAAAAAATGGACAGTTTATTGTACTCATTGTAGTGACGGCTTTTGTACGAAGGCTTAATAAGCACAACCACTTTGTTGACGGCGGGCAAAATTGATCTGGCTTTTGCTGCAAAATATTCATGCTGTGGTCCTGTGGTCTTTTCTGCAGGTATGCAAATGTCACCGAGTCCCTACCAGTGTCAGGTGCACTTCTATTTGCTGTCACTTGTATACAGTATTGTGTCTACAGAGAAAGGAAGGTTTATCTTTGTGTGTGTACAATACAGCCTTATGATAATATTTGCGGTCTAAAGGTGAAGCCATTTTGCCTTTGGGGATAGACACTCCGGGTTTCGGTTTGTTTTTGTAATTGGAAAAATAATCTTCTGTCTATGCCATTTTTACATTTTAAACAAAGGGGCAGTTTGTTTGAGGTTTTGACAAAAAAAACAGCCACGCGAAAGACAGCTGTAAAATGGGTACATTATAGTGAGCTTGTTGGCAGATGCGCGACTGGTGAAATGTAGGGTGAGCACCAACAATCCTTTCATACATCTCGGTATGTGCCGAAGAGTTTTTCAATATTTCGCTTGAGAGAAGACCTCGACCTCCAACAATATAAACTATGTTTGCATGTGAGACCTTACTCGTAATACTTTTAAAGCCAAATAAATGCCCATCTGATTAAGCAGGGGTAAACTGTGTGTTTTATTTACGAGCTAGCTGCTAGCGATATTTCTGAGGGAAATGACACGGCACTCTGCTATGTTTTCCAGCACTGGGCCACAACTTCTGCATTTTAAGTGCCACTGTTGGCGTAAATCACACATGTGGCTTTCATTTTGGACCTGGGCACATTTAAAATAAGGCGGTGGCCATTTTTGCACATGCTTTGTAAAATTACCGAGCCTTTTATTGGGGAATCCTCCAAAAAAAGAAATTTGGTTGACATTTAGCTGTGCCGTTTTCGACGCGCATTGTGTGGAGATGTTCTGAGCAGCACTCTAAAAGACGAGCTCGCGTTCGTGGCAGGCTTTGGAATGCCGGCGATCGATTACAAATGCTAAAGTTCAATTCCCAAGCGAATAGTATTGCTAAACTTGCAGATTGTTCCAATTCTTAGCGTGTAGGCATTAAAGAACGTCCATTGCTTGGTTGCACATGCCACAATGGTCTCGTTTGAGTTTCCCTTTAATCACGTTGAAGCTGACAGCGGTTCAAGACCTGGGTTAAGTTCTTCTAGATCTTTTACATTTTTCTGTGCCAGAGAAAAATCTCTCGGCAAGCCACGGTGCCGACTCCAGAGGCGTAAATTTGTAAACGCATCGCCTCGTGAATGCGTTGCTACTCGTCGTCAGCATGCCGCCACCTGGGTGCCTATTCCCCTCCCGTGGGCACACACTGGACCAAGTTGTGCTCTAACTGGAGGCCTCGGGTAGCAATTGGAAAGTTTTGAAAGCGTTTTGTATTGCATGCTCTCTGTATAAGAAAGTCCCATGGTAGTCAAAATGCATACACAATGCAGACATGTAATTGACTAAACATTTTCCCCGGTAGGTTATTCTATCCCTCTGTAATCCAGACATAAATGTGCAGGGAAGTGATGCCTGTTGAAGCCAGTATAATAAGTAACTTGCTTCTCAATACAATATTCTTCCATGGTAAAGTTGATAGATTTTTGTATGCCTTCTAGGTTAATGATATGCTCGTCACATGTGTGGCCTACCCACGTTTGGGGCCACTGAAGGGATAACGTAGGGCTCGCCAGCTACAGACAAGTCAAACCCAAGTCGAGAAAGCTAATACACTGGGCAAGTATCTCTGTCCTTCGATGCAGACATTCTTTTTGGCACACTGCTGGGGGGGGGGGGTAAAGTGTTGGTATAGTAGCGGATGAAACTAATGGCGTAATTGATGCAAGTCGCATGCAGTGGCTATTTGTCATATTGGTTAAACGCAGTTGTATTGACTACTCATGATGCAAGCACTCTATCAATACCTCGCAGGCCCATTGGTTGAGACCGGATGTTTCGGGTCTATGTGCACTAATGAGTTGCACATGGTGCATGTGCTTGCGCCATTGCGTACTGTACAGCAGTGAAAACAGGCCGCATGTAAACTTGGTGGAAGAGGATATCTGCAGGCGCGCGTTTGTCGCGCGGAAAATTGCACGCCGGATATAAGTGCTGATTGTTCTCATGTACATAGGCACGTACCGGAACCGCTTATTTTAATCCAGCTCTCCGTCGTGTTGTCGCGTTGTGCCCGCGTGTTGTTTGCCAAGACGTGCGGAGTTTCGCCCCCACGCGGAGTGAAACGTCGGACACCGTGCAACCCGAAAAACACGCGTCGCGACTCGACAAAAAAAAAAGCACGTCGGAGGTCTATGCAGCGCATCCGCGAAAACCCACGCGGTTATGTTTAGTCCAAAAAAAGGGTTTGCACTCCTAATGAGCACTCGTTTCATGGCCTCATGCACGAAGAAGGCAGTTGGCAGTACCACGCCTGGCTGCCGCTTCTCCCTCAAACGTCGCGGCAAACACCTGGTACTCATTTCAGGCTGTCAGCCACAAGGAGGGAGGCCCCCCTCTGGGTGCATGGGATGATGATGGCAACGTTTAGGAATTCGGTCCTTTGGAGGAGGCTGGAATAGAACCTGATTTCAGCAGTATTTCTTCTTTCGCACCGTGCGTAGCCAAACCACGCTCATCGGAGGTGCGGGGGGAAGGACGACATACCAAACACGACAAGTAGTTTTGATTTCAAGCTTTCGTGACTGCAGGAATCGATACACTTTGGTTATTTTATTTGATACCTACGTGACTTTACCGAAAGACCCAAAGAGTGCGACAAGTAGTTCTGAAGAAATTAGTTTAAATTCGAGACTTAAAAGTGCATAGCTCCAACGGCTTCCTAATATCGGAAGGGCACAGTTTACCTGGGTACCATAGAATCTCTTGTAGTCCACAGTACTAACCGATCCCATTGGACTTGCCCTATGTAACTGCTGGAAGTGTATGTTTAGTTATTTTGTTTTCATTACGTTCTGCTTCACTTGAACCAGTAGCGGTTACCTTAAGAAAGTAAATGAAGGCTCGGAATAAAATAGGGGAAACCTCTGTGAGAGAAGGGGCATAGATAACAATTGTTTTACACCATTGGAACCTCCTTTGCCAGTAGCACAATATGACAAATTGATTTTTTACCCTTTTATCTGGCAACAAAACTGACACCTTTTTTAGGCGTCATCTGGTCCAACACCATGTGAGACTCGGCTCTAAGGAAAGCTGTCTCGGGTGTGGACCAATCAATTTTAAGGACAGTGCACACCTTATCAGTGATGGGTTTTTTTTGCATTCCGACGGCAGGTATTGTGGTCAATGCAAACATGACTCCTTGTAAAAAAGGTGTCAGTTTGCTGCCAGATAAAAGGGTAAAAAATCAATTATTATTAACAATTGCTTTGTAAAGGTGAGGTCGTTAGGGGTTTATTTTATCACTCGTGTTGCTGCTCTATGCTCCCTGTGTACCGATCTCGTTCTGCTTGTAATGTGCACCGATGCCTACTTTATTGAGGTGATATTGGCACGTAAAATAAAGATTGACTGATTTATTGAAGGCCACATTCCTCATGCCATCAAGCTAAGATCAGCTCTTAAAAAGTAGTTGAAGAAGCTTTGATTTTTCTGTAAAGTAAACCGTTTGAGCTCATTGGCATTCTCTATTAATTGGGAAAACGTGAGTGTTGGAATGCAACATTTTTTTTGGCTTTGATGGCTGACTCATATATAAAGCAGCGTTAATCATAAATGCATTTCCCAGTCCCTTAGGTGTCATATAGGGTACATGTTATAGCGCCTCTAAGGTTCATTATTATTATTATTTTTTTTTGCACAGACTGCTCTTATGAAATTTAAATAAGTCTAAAAAAATCCACAAAGAACCAGCATAATTATTTAATGCCTGAAAAAGTGATTTTTAGATTTGAATGTTAAAGCACCCACATGGTTCATACTGCGACTCACTTCTTACAGGGATGGCATAAAACCGATCGCACTTCGGGAAGATGTAGGCCAAATAAGGAATAATTATTAATGTGTGTACAATGTGTGTTTTTCATCTGGTAAGCCGTGTTTAAATTGGTCTTTGCGCTCATTTTTTATTCTCTTATTTCACCGCCGTACACGTTTGATGATGGAGAATGTTTCTCAAGGTTTTTTTCTTCTTCGTCTCTCCCTCCGCTGTACAGATGATGAAGCATGCGTGGAACAACTACAAGCAGTACGCCTGGGGTGCCAATGAGCTGAAGCCCATTGCCAAGAAGAGCCACACCACAAACATATTCGGTGAGCCTTGCAAATATGTTAATGGCCAACAAAAACCGCCGTGCAGCAGTTCTGCAGCAATCTCTTTAATCAGTTGGAGCAAACGGACAAGGACGACTCCTCGCTGCTTTAAACATTAACGAGCATGTCTGGTAAACAGCCACGCGTTGACTACAGTCACTGTGGCCCTTGCCCAATGGCTTCGCTTAAAACGGACGAAGCAAAGTCCTGTGGGTGGAAACGTGCCGTGCTGGATTTTGTGTTTGCCTGATGATTGAGCGCCGGGGAAATTCAACGCAGGGTCACTAACGAGACCTGTTAAGTGGAGCCAGTTGATTATTCCATTTAGCCTGAACGTATTTTGACATAAAGTACCAAAACCAATACACCTATGTATATATTTTTGCAGAGTGTGTGTATTGCATACCAAAGCAGCGTGAAGCATTGTTTCACACTCGTACCATACTTTATTCATTTAATTTATTACTTTTGTTCATTACTTTTTCAGGAGGGCTCTGCCAAGTATATTTTTTACGGTAGGCAGCAATGATTGTTCTGTATATTCCAATTGAGTAATTTCTGAGTATATTTTTTCTTTCAAATTTGGCCCATGACTCCGGTGCGAATGACATCACGGGATCTTTAACGTAAACTGGGAAAGAGGCAGCGTGCACTTATATTACGGTGAATACACCCTCGGCGTTAACCAGAGTGGCTTCTCGACTCGAACCTCGTGAACCCCTGCAGCAAATGTCGAACATGCTATACCGCTAGGCAATGTCACCGCGTCGAATCTTTCAGCCGAAAATCTGCTGCCAGCTTCACTGCTCTTATTCTGATTTATTGAATTGCTGGCAGGTGACCTGCGCGCCACATCACTGTATGGCATTGTGTTACGTTGGCCCCATAGAGTATGACTGCTCTTAGCAAAATGGTCATTCTCTGCTCGGTGAAATTTACAACCCTGGATATATCTAGCCGCAGGAGGCTGGATGATTACCTCGCGGGGAATGTGAATAGTCTGTTTCCATGGTTGACTTTTGCTTTAATGTTTGACTTCTCCTGAGTGCCTATGTTACTTGCAAACTGTTCCTCTGTCAGTGTGTTCGTGGATGAGTGCACTGCCACAGGCTTTGTTCTCCTGTGGCTCATTCATTTGGTCACGAAATACAATTTATCGTCCTTCCAAAATAGTCGTGAAGTTTTTGCTGCTTCACTCGGCGATCGTCCTTCACCTGAGACTCCACCGCGTCAGTGATGAGCAATTTCCCATTTCCTTTGGTCTCCTGTCATTATTTCCATTTCTGCTTGCAGCTGCAGCTACTTAGATAAATTAAGCCAATATTCCTCCTCGTGTTTTTGCTGAATAATGGGGCGGCGTGCGTCTTGATGCTTCTGCTGGCCTGGGAAGGTGCAGGCATCTATAAGGGAGGCTCACAATGCAAGTTAATAATAGGCCGCCACCGTGGCGAGATGTTAACTACCTCGCCTGGTATGCAGAGGTTGTGGGTTTTATCCCGACTGACACCTGCATATTTGGAGTTTGCATGCCTCTCTCTCCGTGATTGCGTGGATTTTTCCCCGAGTTCTCCGGTTTTCCCCTCCACATTCATAAATTGCGTAAATATAAATGTGTTGTTTAACCCACCACCAGTCGACACTGCCAATTAGTAAGGTTTGTCACGTAAACAGAACATGCTAATTCGTTACTCGGACAGCACACCGGTGTTTTGGAGAGCAAATCCACAACATTTATAATCTGAGTACGACGTTTCGCCAGTCATTATACAACTAGCTCCATCAGGCGAGAGCCAGATTTGCTGTCCTAGTAACGAATTGGCATGTTCTGTTTACTTGACAAACCTTCCTAATTGGCTGTGTCGGGTGGTGGCGGGTTTAACGACACATTTATATTTACGCGATCTAACCCAAAAAAGCCTACATTATTTTACAGTTTTTTGCTGCTATAAATTTCCACACGGATTCGCCACTTCATTGGGCTATTATTTGTGGCCAGGTTGCTTCTGAAAAAGAGCTATACAGCTCAGTGGGCCTTACCTGGTAAAATAATAGTTGTGTTTGCCATTTTTGGCTGTCGCCTGATGATGCTGGTGGTAATTACCGACTAAACGTCGTACTGTAATTGTAAATTTGTGGGTTTACTCTCCAACACACCGGTGTGCTGAACTAGTAACGAATTGGCACTTTTGTTTACGTAGTGGCGGGTTTAATGACACGCATTTATACGATCTAACCACAAAAAAAACCTCTATTGGTCGTGAAAGCATACTACGTGTTAAACTGGTTTAGTTTCAAGTTCACGGTCTCGTGCGAGCTCGTTAGCGCGAGGGCTCTGAGACGAAATGGGCCCGGTGCCCGTCGTCCGTGTTGTGTTGTGTGAAATATCTCGGACGTCCGGGTGGAAACGTGCTAAATGCTGTTTTTTTTATTTGAAAAAGCCCGGCAACTATGTCTCCCGACATCTCGATCTTAAAACAGCTGACACCGCCAGCGCCTGGTGGATTCGCACAGACAGTTTGAGCAGTTGCTGACATTTTGACACGGCAACAGTCGACAGAGTGGGTCTGGGATATTTCGGAAATGCCCCTTTTTGCCGCTTGTTATTTTTCACCGCCCGTTCATTAATTTTTTGTGTGGTCATGCATGGCTTTGATATAATTTACCGGAGGCTGCGCGTTTTTTGCCTTTCGCACAAGAGTACCGCGGAAGTTGACGAAACCTTTCAGGGATGCAAGCCAGGGAGAGATATCGAAATTACTATCTTCTCGTGGCATTTGTATCAGTTGGCCACCTTGCGTAGGCTTCCGCCCCCCGACCTCCCCCCCCCCCCCCCCACACAAGCCAATTTTGGTTGTTTTTTACAACGCTGCTTTTTCAAGTTTATTTATATAACTAAGTTGGGAACTCTAGAGAGAGACCGGGGAATAAGTCTCATTTGCAACAGCGACCTGGGTCACTATGTGCCCCGTGCGAAAAACTACCTGCGCAAATTCACACCGTCTTTTGTGCCCTGTAGCGCGGAAAGCGCATGGGCAAAGTCACAATTCGGTCTCAGCGGCCGTCGCTGTGCCGGTGCAGAAAGGTGGCCTCGTTGAATGGACCGCCGCGCCTTGCACAGGGACTCCTCTACTTACTGACATTCGACTTACGAACTTTCAGAGATGCGAACGAACCTGTCCGAATGTCCAGCTGCAGCTGTTCGGACCGTGAGTTGGAAGTTCAACTGCCTTGCAAAAGATGGCGATGGTGGCATCTACATGTGCAGAACATGAAGAACCAGTGGCATGTACAGGAGATTATACAATTTTTAAAGCCATTCCCCATGTTTAGTGTACATGCCTTACAACATGTTTAGAATCGACATGTGTGAAGTTGGGCTTGTGAACAAATCGACTTATGAATAGAGCTCTGGAACCTAACTCGTTCGTAAGTAGAGGATTCCCTGTATTTGTAAAGGAAGCCTTTTTGATGCCTGAGCGTGCGTTGAGAGTGCTCGATCTCCGTGCGTTTCATCTCTCCTCGGCCAAAAGCTGCACAAACAAAGGGAAAAATGTTAAATAAAACGAGCCCCTGCAACGCAATTGCAAAGGCACATGTTGGATCTCTTCATTAAAACACGGATGTTTATTACAAAATAAGATATAGGAATTGCCTGCTTTGTTGGTGTCCAAAGGTAGGACATTTTATTTATTCGGAATAACAGAAATATAGAGCAGTATTGTCCCGGCTTTTGTATGTTTTACTATTACCTAAACAGTGCATAGAGATGTTACTGAAGGAAGCATGTGGTTAGGCCTCAGCCAAATCTTTTGCCATTTTAATCATTTAACATGTGCTTTCACCTTCCGTCCTGCGCATTGTAAACTTGTATAAAAATGGTAAATTTAAATACATTGTCAAGCATAACAAGTGCACCTTATGTTCACATCATTAAGTTTTAACGGGATTTTGTTCCCCCGCGTGGTTACGTAATACAGGACAATGATTGTACAAGGTGAGCGTTTGCGTTTGTTTCCCGTTGAAGGGTTCGAACACTGACCATTTTTCAATCGGGCGTAAGAATGTGTTATTTTTTCCATATATTCTTTGAAATGAAGGCCATCTGGAATATTAAATGGTTGCAAAATGTTCGGTGTCCCTGCTATGAAAGGGAGGTCCTTTCAGTGTGTATTCCCCAAGCAACTCGCAGCGTGCGTGCATCTGAAAATTAAAGCGTATCGCCAGTGTGTTGTTGTAAACGTTCTTGCCAGAAATGGACGGTTATTAAACGCGTGGTGCCTCTCGAGCATTGAGAAGGTTGTGGGGCTGAGAGCAATGCAACATCTGTTGATATGGGGGGGGGGGGGGGGCATGGCGGGGGGGGGGAATGAGAGTCCATGGTGTTTTGGAACTCCGAGGGGGGGGGGGGGGGGCGGGGGGGGGTTGGATGGATATCATAGCTGACTGGCGCAATAAAAAAATTAAACTAGCAGATTTGTACACTAATTACACTATGCTGTAATCGGTAAGTTGGGTAGCTCAAAAACCTCCGTGCCAGGCCCAAGATAAGATGCACCATGCCCAGAATAACCAGCACAATGATTTATTGCGTACATCACAGTTTGCCCGAGATCGCGGCCCGCAAAAGCTCGTTCCATTCATCACTCGCAACACTGCAGCCTGAACGGCAATCGCGCAGCCATACAAACGGAAGCCCAAGGAGGCTTCATGAAACCCTTGCAAGTGTGCCCCCTTATGTATCGCCGTAATGAACGGGTTTTCAAATGCGCAGCAACTTTACTCGCGTGGTGAAGTCACGGCCAGTGTGTGGGGGGGGGGTGATTGCGGTAATGTGTGGTAGTGATGTTTGGGGCCAATGGTAAATGATCGCAAATGACCCGCAAGCCTGGCATTGCCGTGTTGCACTGTACGCCGGAAGGATCGTTCATCTTGAGCGGGTCACCGGCCCGAGTTGGGTGCCCGGCGGAAAGATGCATTGGGACATTTTCTTATCTTGCGGG